GCCAAATTCAATTTCAGTGGGCTTATTAGTTGTTTTATTTATCTAATACGACTAGAAAGGAAAAAAGAGAGRGTATGTATACCATACCACAGCTGTTTTCTTCCCTTTTTCTTTTTAAAAAATGTTATGGTATCTTCTTTAGTATTTAGTATTTAGTATTTAACCTGTATTTGTCAAATTCCTTTCTCTTTCTAACCAATTTCTTTCAACTTTTTGTCAATTTCTAAAATAAATGGTTTTACCATTAGGGTAGAAAATCAGAATCATGAAAAAAATTATGGTATTAACATAACCCGTGAGTAAATTTTGGTAGTTAAATTACTCAATTTTGGACAACGAGGTCTTTGGTGTGCTGTTTGATATTAGACTGCTATCTCAATCCTTTTGCTTGATTTCATTTTCTTATATCCCATGATTAGAAAATGCATTACCTCTCCAAGTTTTGTTCTAGTTTCGGATTTAAAATTATTAGTATGTGGTTGAGTAGTGGTTATGAGTATCATGTATGGAGGGATCTGGTCGTGTTTTTAAGTTGTGGGTATATGGCTCTCATGTGGTGGGATTTGTGGCTTGTGGGATTGAATATTATCATTTGTATTTCACATTGAAATTATTAATAATTCACCAGATACGAAAAAATGCATTACGTGATACTCTTGCTAAAAGAGCTATGTTATTCCTTGACTGCGATGTAATTTATTAATAAAATTTCAGTTTCGACCAAAAAAGATAAATTTTTCTATCGCTACCGAATCATAGTATTTATTTAAGATATTAACAACATTCAGTTCTCGGCTGCGAATTTATCAGAAAACAATTCTAATGAGTAAAGCGGAAACTAAACCCAAAAACTTCATAGTTTATGTGTTTTTTCAATAGGACTTTAACTGAAATAAGTTGAATATAGATTTCGGTTTAAAGGTATCTACATGAAAAGATAACTCAATTGACATATCTTATATTTTTTCGCTTTGATTCTTTTAAATTCTTAAATCCTAGAGTAATATATTGAAATCATTAGGATCGATTTTTAACATTCACAAATAATATAATTTCTCAAGCGACTATTATATGATGATTTTTACATCCTATCTCATTATTCACATAGAAATTTTTGAGAATGCGATAGTGATTCATTCCCTTATAAAGTCACGACAAAGATATAACACATTTTTACTCAGATTTTACAAATTTTGAAAAAATTGTAATCAGATATATATTTTTATTTTTCCAGTTTGTCGGATGATGCATATGGAATCGATCAAACATTAAATGCATCCATACATATAGCAACGCGTTCGCTTAAACCAAGCAATCATAATCTCTGAACATCGTATGAATTATTTGGTCACGCCAAAACGTATTGTACTATATATATCGTAAAGATAAATTTAGGTAACTGTGTTTTTAATTCCTAACGATTAGTATTTTTTTTATTTAGCTAATTGATGATGACTATGGTTTACTAAGCAGACTAAAACACAACGTATATTACCAAAAGAAAGCCATAAACACATTTGTAGGTCACATGAAAAATACGAATAACCCCAAAACAAAGTATATTTTGGCACATAGCAAATACACGAGATTGTATTTAACAACTGAAAAACAAAAAAAAAAAAGTATGAGATGAAACGAGTTACGTAATACACATGAACGTATGAAAATAGTGTGATGATTTGAAAGGCTGATCCGATAATTTTGAGATTAATTTATTAGTTAATAGTAAAAGGTTAGAAGAGAGTTGCTAATTAGTAATGAAAGAAAATGTGAAAGTGTCACATTATTTGACAGCAGGCCTACTTGATTGGGTCCACGCTGGCCTCTCTGCGTCATCTTCCATTTTGCACCTTCTATGACCTCGTCCGTTGGATTCCTTTTATGTGCGATTCAGATTGCATCTAACGGCTCTCAACGTTCGGTGTCCCACACGGCTGTAAAACGGAGACACCGCAATAATAACCATAATATTTAGTACAAAGAGAATATTACCTTTCACGTCTTTTAAATTAAGCCCCAGACTTTACGTTTCATTATTTAATCTGCACCGTTTTTATTATTAATGTTGCTCTTTTTCCTTTTAAACCAATATGCAAATTTTTCTCTTATGTAAAAATCCAAATAAACAGCTAAAACTTCGAAAGAGACGACTTGTAATCCAAGTCATGGATACGGCATTTTTTATGTTAACAAAAACAAAAATAGTAGGAAAGTGGATGAGACTTGAGAGTTTTATGGTTAAACTAAACCCAAAATAAAGAAGAAAAAAAGGCGCCTGAGAGAGAGAGTCTCGTCAAAGCTCCAGGCGGCGCTCATGCAAACGACCGTTTGTTACAGTGTGTAACACTAATTAATTAACCCTTAATCTTTTTCACTTTACTCCCCACCATTTTAATCATTTACACTTTAATCCTCCTCTTCTTCTTCTTTTTGAACTAATGCACCCCCACTAACTAATCCGCGAGTGTTTTTATTATCCGGATCACTTCCGAGATAAAAGATGAATAATGATGATGATATCACATTTTAAAAAAATTAAAATGAAAACTATACGAGGATATGATCAAATATAGCTTGTGGATAAAGTTTTTCGATATACTATAAAATTAGAAGAACCCTATCAAACACATACTATATAGATTCTTATAATTGAAATTCTATAATAATAAAAGTTGGGTGGGTGTTGTTGGCTGATTAATTAAGGAACATAAAAGGGATCTAACAACGCAAACAAAGCTTGCAAGTTATATACCAAAACTTAAACAACCAACTTCCTTATACATACTTTTGAATTTCATTGCATTACCCAAAGTTTATTTTGTTTTCTTATAAAGTTTTGGGATGATTGGATACGTTTGTTAGAAAGCTATTTTATTCTCATTTGTTTGTTTTGTTTTTTTCCTAGTTTTAG